TATCACTGAGGACTGCGGTAAACAATTTTATCTAAATTCACATTTCGCCTTAGTTCAATTCCCATCTCGCCTTAATATTTTTTTTACCTTTTTTACCTGGAATTCACAGCTAAGGCGAAATGGGAACACACCGAAACATGCATACCCATAGATAGTTGATATACGTATACAACATTTTAAAGAACATTTTACTCTTAACAACAACCATAAAAATCCTATTTCTCGTATCAAACATAAACTAAAAGAACTAGCCAATGAATTTGTTTTTGTCCCGGCTGATAAAGCTGCTAATAATATCATTATAGTTTGACGTAAATTTTACATTGAGGTTCTGCAAAAGGAAATCACGAATTCACCAACATTCCAACTGACTTCATTTTCAGAAAACGATATCTGTAACAAACATAAACTATTAGCTACTTCTTTACAAGCATAACCAAATACAATGAAAGTCCCAACTATGTACTGGCTTCCGAAGCTACACAAATCACCTTACAAATATAGATTTATTTCGTCTTCAAGTCATTGTTCCACTACTAAATTGTCTATTCTACTTACTTGTACACTTGGTACAATCAAAAACCATATAATAAATTGTTCAAATAAGGCCTTTGAAAATAGTGGAATTAACTACTTTTGGAGTGTCAAAAACTCGTTGGAAGTACTTGATAAATTGCATGCATATATTGGTGATTTTGAATCTGTTCAAAGTTTTGATTTTTCTACCGTATATACCACTTTGCCTCATATTCTTATTAAGAAAAATTCACAAACCTGATTAAATGGGCATTTAAAAAGTCGGAATGCGAATACATATGTTCAAACCCTTTTAGGTCATTTTTCAGTAGCAACAAACAAAAGAGCTATGTCAATTGGACATGCTTTGATACTATATCTGCCCTTGAATTTTTACTTGATAACATTTTTGTTCGCTTTGGAGATTCCGTATATCGTCAAGTTGTCGGAATTCCAATGGGGACTAACTGTGCACCACTTATTGCGGACCTGTTTTTGTATTGTTATGAGTTACAATTTATGACTAAAATCAGCAAAGACCCATCGAAACAACATCTGATACAAAAATTTAACAATACTTTTAGATATTTGGATGATATATTGGCTCTCAATAATGACGACTTCAGTATGTATACTAAAGAAATTTATCCTGTTGAACTTACTTTAAATAAAGCTAATACTAACAATGACCACTCTCCTTTCCTCGATCTTGATATCTATATCATTAACGGGAAGCTTAATACAAAAATTTATGATAAAAGAGATGATTTTTCATTTCCTATCGTTAATTATCCATTTTTAGATGGTGACGTTCCCTTGTCACCATCTTATGGTGTTTATATATCTCAACTTGTACGATTCGCTCGTGTATGTAACAACGTATTAGATTTTAGCGAAAGAAATTTATGTATTACTGAAAAATTATTACACCAGGGTTTTCGATATCATAAACTAGTCAAAACATTTACTAAATTTTATCATCGGTATAAGGACATCATTCGTAAACATAACTCAACATGCAGACATCTTATACGTTCGGGTATTTCACATCCAATCTTTTATGGTAATATTCTTTACAAAACACAAAAATGTCAGTATTCACCTCAAAAGCTAACAAAACCTTTAAACAGACTTATTAAGAAGGGATATAGTTACGATACTGTTGTCAGGTCATTAAAGATTGCATATTTTGGCTTTAATATTGATTCACTTATAGGGTCTTTGCATCGGAATTAAACATATTTATTCTAAAACCAGTTGTTGGCATGACACGGGTTATGTTTTTCTCATATATTTTATGACGGTATAATACTAAACCCCTAACAGGAGGGATTGTGCCTGATATTCATATGATGAAGACATAATCTTTCAATCAGTTTAATTGAGGTCTGGAGCTGGCATGTCAGTAACTGCTAGTAGTCTGTTGTTATTTATGTATTATTGTCATTTTGTTTATTTTCTTTTGTTTCCTATTCTGACATCGGACTCGGACTTCACTTGAACTGAGTTTTACTGTGCGTACTGTTGTACGTTTGTTTTTTCTACATTGGCTAGAGGTATAGGGGGAGGGTTGAAATCTCAAAAAACATGTTTAACCCCGCCGCATTTTTGCGCCTGTCCCAAGTCAGGAGCCTCTGGCCTTTGTTAGTCTTGTATCATTTTTAATTTTAGTTTCTTGTGTATAATTTGGAGTTTGGTATGGCGTCCATTATTACTGAACTAGTATACATATTTGTTTAGGGGCCAGCTGAAGGACGCCTCCGGGTGCGGGAGTTTCTCGCTGCATTGAAGACCCATTGGTGGCCTTCGGCTGTTGTCTGATCTATGGTCGGATTGTTGTCTCTTTGACACATTCCCCATTTCCATTCTCAATTTTATACAAGTTATAAAAACCATACATATATTATGTTGAAATTTAGTAAAACAGATATGCAACCCAATAATTAGTTTCTTTATTTTATTATAATTGACTTGAAAAGAAAATATGGTTAAATGTTTTGGAAGTAAAAACGTGTTCTGGTTTTTTTGAATATTTTCGACTGTTTTTCGGACTAATTCTCCCTCGTGCACAGATATTCATGATTTTATACTGATATATATTTCTCACGACAAAACATGTTGATGTTAAAAATAAATGTTCATGAAATTTCATTGATTGATAAGAATAATATATATGAAGAAATAAGGAATGCTATATTGCACTCGATAACGTCAGCGTATTTACGCAGTAAAGGTGTTTTAAACGCACTACTCAGAAATCAAAAGCAATCGGGACAGTCAAGGAATTGGTCTATATCATTACTTCGGATTTTATCCTACGTAAATATTTAAAAAACTGTGAAATACATCTTTTAACATAAAATAAATGTACATAAAAAGCGTCATAAATATGCATTATGTCACTTTAAATCGCTATTTTTTCGAAAACCTGTTCCCAGAACTTATTTAAAAAATAATATGTTATTTCTATGAAAATTTAAAGTTTAATGACAGAACTCATTTGGTTAAAAGATACCAAGTACTATCGATATAAACAGTAAACAAATAATAAGTCTAACATCGTGACAAAGCCAAGGCATGTTGTAAGATCGTAGTTTTTTATGTTTTGGTCATACAGCACACAAACGTTAATGATTTAGATAGCAAAACCAAAGCCGTTGACTGCTGTCATTTTTATATCATTAATTCGGGATTATTGTAAGCAATAGCAAATCAGTTTAAAATAAAACTTTATGGACGAAATTTAGTGAAATTCCAATTTGATTGTGTTTTACTCACCTGGACCCATAGTCAAGATGATTTATTATAAGAGTCATCCCCTTAGATGACGATTTTTGACTAATTTTGTAGTTGTTTTTCAATTCTCTCGAAACATTTAACAGATAAGATAAAAATGATAATAGCCAAAAGATCAACATTACAATATCTAAAACAAATGCATATAACCGACAACATTTGACGACGTCGTCTTTGATAGTTTATCTTTAAATCAAAATGTTTGAAAAAGAGAGGCGAAAGATACCAGAGGGACATTTAAACTCATAAGTCGAAATCAAACTGACAAACGCCATGGCTAAAAAAGAAAAAGACAAACAGACAAACAATAGTACACAAAACACACATAGAAAGCTTAAGACTAAGCAACACAAACCCATCAAAAAATGGGGGTGATCTCAGGGGCTCCGGAAGGGTAAGCAGATCCTTCTCCACATGTGATCTTTTTCCATATTTTGCCTTTTATCTCGAAAAAACCTTAATTGTGAGGCAGAAAATGTAAAATGTTAAAAAAGGTAAACATTTATTATCAATACAAAACAAAAACAAAAATGACTGTATCCATAGAATGACTTCCGATAGGAGATATAACTCTTTTAAAATATGGCAATTTTAAACTAATTGTAGCGTGTATGCCTATTATCTTGAAAACTACTACTAGTAGTACAAAAGGCCTTCAACAGAAAAATGATTTACAATACAAGATATACAATAATGACAATATGAACGAAAAGTTCAATAATGAATTTACAGAAGTTAATATCTTTAAATGATAATATTTAACAAATTTAACCTACTTAAGTATCATCTTCAAATATATAATAGATAGATAGAATTTAATAGCAACCATCATATATATACAAACTGGTAGCATTACTGACACTGTAAAAAAACTGTTTGATAGAGTTATTATAAGAATAAGAAGATGTGGTATTATGATCACCACCAATGAGACAACTCTTCACTAAAGACCAGATGACATAGAAGTTGATAACTAAATGTCACCGTATGGCCTTGAACTATGGGCAAAACCCATACCGCATAATCAGTTATTTAAAGCCCCGAATTGACAATGAATGAAAAACAAATAAGATATACAGCAACGAAATATTGGAATACATGAGAACATGCAAAAATCAAAATAGCATTTGCCAAGCAATCGTTTCAGGCTTTTATTTTAATTGATTGTAACTTATGAAGTAATAAAGCTACATACATAATTTTTCGATACTCAGGTTCAGTTAAACGTACAAACCAAAAAAACAAAAAAAACTGCGAAATATTTCTCAAATTACGTATATTTCACCTTATTGAAATTATTTACAAGGAGTAATAAAAAATTCCGTCAAAAGTTAAAACTTCAAGAAAAAAAGCACGTTTAAATGCAGCTTCATTTAAACAAATGATAAGTGATATAGAACCCAAAACAATCTGATTTATGTACAATGTGTATAGATTTAAAGTCTACAAGACTTTTGTGGAAGACACAGAAATAGAATAGAAACGCCAAATTTTCAGGTCAATTATACTTTTAATACATATATTTTGGAATAAAATTGATTAGTAATGCGTAATTATACAATGTATCTGGTGACAATAAAGATATATAGTTGGCAATAGTTGAATAACTAAAAGCTTTGTAAACATACTGATATGTAGAAATTTGGCCCATAATGATTTTTCAGTTTATTGTCAATATTCTTTTCCAGATTAAAGGCAACAAGTTTGTAGCATTCCAAGGCAGTATGGAATATAGGGGAATAAATGAAACATTATCTGTCACTGTAGGCAATCCAGACATAGTGAATAAATCAGGTAAGTATACACTTCGCTAATACTAGATATTCTAGACATATCCAATGGCTCATGTAAACAAAACAAAAATAACTAGCTGTAGGCAATCTGAATATTATTATAATTCAGAAAAACTCTTATCTTTTTACTATCGATGGGAACTAATTATAATTAATAAAACTTCACAAACTGTTCTCAAGTAAACAAGGATTCTCTGTGACCGAGTGATCTAAGTAGTCAAACATCTGTATAACTAGCTTGTAAGTATTGAGGTTGTGAGTTTGGACTCCGCATGTGGCAGGTGTGCTTGACTAGGATTGTAATTTTTTCCTGCCGAAGGTTAGTGGTTCTCTCTGCGTACTGCAGTTTCCTCCAAGAATAAAAAAATGATTTACTGTAGACAATCTAGAGATAGTCAATAGCTCAGATAAACAAAAACTTTACTCACTGTAGACAATCTAGACATAGTCAAAAGCTCAGATAAACAAAAGTTTTACTAACTGTAGACAATATAGATAGTCAATAGCTCAGATAAACAAAAACTTCACTAACTGTAGACTATCTAGATATCGTCAAGATAGTTTATATCAACAATAACTTTACTAATTATAGACAATCTAGACCTTGTCAATATCTCAGGTAAATAAAAACTTCACTTACTGTAGACAATCTAGGCATAGTCAAAAGCTCAGATAAACAAAAACCTCACTAACTGTAGATGATGTAGACAGTCAAAAGGTCAGATAAACAAAAACGTTTACTTACTGTAGACAATCTAGACAAGGGCTAGCTCAGATAAACGAAAAAATCACTTACTGTAGACAATATAGACATATTCAATAGCTCATATTAACGAAAACTTCACTAAGCATAGACAAAATAGACCTAATCAAAAGTTTAGATAAACAAAAACCTCAATAACAACTATCGACAATCTAGACATATTCAAATGCTCAGATAAACACAAACTTGACTAATTGTAGAGAATCTAGATATATTCAAAAGTTCAGATCAACAAAAACTTCACTTATTGAAGACAGTCTTGATATAGTCAATAGCTCAGATAAACAAAAACTTTACTAACTGTAGACAATCTAGACATAGTCAAAAGCTCAGATGAACAAAAACCTCACTAACTGTAGATGATCTAGACAGTCAAAGGGCAAGATAAACAAAACCTTCACTTATTGTAGGCAATATAGACATAGTGAAAAGCTCATATAAACAAAAACTTCACTAACCATAGAAAATATAGACCTAGCCAAAAGTTCAGATAAACAAAAACTTCACTTATTGTAGGGAATATCGTCAAAAGCTCATATATACAAAAAATTCACTTACCATAGACAATATAGATCTAGACCAAAGTTCAGATAATCAAAAGCTTTACTAATTTTAGACAATCTAGACATATTCAAAAGCTCAGATAAACAAAAAACTTCACTAATTGAAGACAGTCTTGACATAGTCAATAGCTCAGATAAACAAAAACTTCACTTACTGTAGACAATCTAGACATAGTCAATAGTTCAGATAAACAAAAACTTTACTAATTGTAGATAATCTAGACATAGTCAATAGCTCAGATAAAGAAAAAAACTTCACTAACTGTAGATAATCTAGACAATAAAAAGGTCAGATCAACAAAACGTCTACTTGTTGTAGACCACCTTGACATAGTCAAAAGCTCAGATAAACAAAAAACTTTACTGACTGTACACAATCTAGACAGTCAATAGCTCAAATAGCTATGATAAACGAAATCTTCATCAACTGAAGACAATCAATGCATATTAAAAAATTTCTGATAAACAAAAACTTCACCAACAGTAGACAATAAAGACATAGTGAAAAGCTCAAATAAAAACTTCACTAACTGTAAGCAATCTATGCATACTCAATAGATCAGATTAACAAAAACTTCACTGATTGTAGACATCGAGACAGTCAATAGCTCGGATAAACAAAAACTTCAATGAACGTAGACCATCTTGACATATTCAAAAGTTCAGATCAACAAAAACTTTACTAACTGTAGACAATCTAAACGTCGTCAAAAGCTCATATAAACAAAAACTTCACTTACCATAGACAATATAGACCTTCTCGTAAGTTTAGATAAACAAAAATCTTACTTATTATAGACAATCTAGACATATTCAAATGCTCAGATAATCAAAAACTTTACTAACTGTAGACAATCTTGATATAGTCAAATGCTCAGATAAACAAAAACATCACTAACTGTAGACAATCTTGATATAGTCAATAGCTCAGATAAACAAAAACTTTACTAACTGTAAACAATCTAGACATAGTCAATAGCTCAGATCAACAAAAAAATCACTTGCTGTAGACAATTTAGACATATTCAAAAGTTCTGATAAACAAACACTTTACTAACCGTAGAAAATCTACACATATTCCAAAGCTCAGATCAACAAAAACTGTACTAATTTTAGACTATCTAGACATCGTCAAAAGGTCAGATCAATAAAATCTTCACTAACTGTAGACAATCTAGACATGGTCAATAGCTCAGATAAACAAAAACTTTAAAACTGTAGACAATTTAGACATAGTCAATAGCTCAGATTAACAAAAACTTTACTAACTGTAGACAATCTTGATATGATCAATAGCTCAGATAAACAAAATCTTTACTGACTGTAGACAATCTAGACTTATTCAAAAGATCAGATAAAAAAAGACTTGACTGCCTGTAGACAATTTAGACATAGTCGAAAACTCGCTCAGATCTACAAAAACTTTACTAACTTTAGACAATCTAGACATCGTCAATAGCTCAGATAAACATAAACTTCACTAACTGTAGACAATCTTGACATAGACAATAGCTCAGATAAACAAAAACTTTACTAACTGTAGAAATTCTAGACATAAAGCTCATTTAAACAAAACTTCACTAGCTGTAGACAATCTGGACATAGTCAATAGCTCAGATAAACAAAAACTTTAAAACTGTAGACAAATTAGACATAGTCAATAGCGCAGATAAACAAAAACTTTACTAACTGTAGACAATCTAGACATAGTCAATAGCTCAGATAAACAAAAACTTTACTAACTGTAGACAATCTTGATATAGTCAAATGCTCAGATAAACAAAAACTTTACTGACTGTAGACAATCTAGAATTATTCCAAAATTCAGATAAAAAAAGACTTGTCTGCCTGTAGACAATTAAGACATAGTCGAAAACTCGCTCAGATATACAAAAACTTTACTAATTTAAGCCAATCTAGACATCGTCAATAGCTCCGATTAACAAAATCTTCACTTACTGTACACAATTTAGACAGTCATAAGCTCAGATATACAAAAACTTTACCAACTGAAGGCAATCTATGAATAGTCAAAATATCAGATAAACAAGAACTTAACTAAGTGAAGGCTATCTAAACATAGTCAAAAACTCGCTCAGATATATAAAAACTTTACTTACTGTAGGTAATCTATGCATAGTCAAAAGCTCAGATAAACAAAATCTTCACTAACTGTAGACAATTTAGACAGTCAAAAGCTCAGATATACAAAAACGTTACCAACTGAAGGCAATCTATGTATAGTCAAAATATCAGATAAACAAAACTTCACTGCCTGTAGACAATTTAGACATCGTCAAAAGCTTAGATAAACTAAAACTTGACTGTCTGTAGACAATCTAGAGGTAGTCAATAGCTCAAAATAAACAAAAAATTAACCATCTCTAGGCTATCTAGACATAGTCAATAGCTCAAATGTACGAAAAGTTCACCTACTGTAGATAATCGTGACATAGTCAAAAGCTCAGACAAACAAAAACTTCAGTAATTGTGGACAATCTTGACATTATATAGCTAAGGCAATACAAATTACAAAATATAAAACCAGATTCAAAAATGTCCTGTACAAAGTCAGAAATATGGCAGTTGTCATCTACAGCCGGTTTTATGGATGTTGGCATTTTTCGTTTGTTGCACTTCAGTGCTTCTGTTGTTCCGTTGTTTTCCTCTCATAGTTGATTTGTTCCCCTCTGTTTTGTTTGTTACCTGGATTTGAATTTGCTAAATCGAATTATGAACCGCTGTATACTTATGTTATCTAGGTGATTGTCTGAATTTAGTCTGATCTGAAAATTTAACTTATTTGACCTATAAATAAAATTCCTTAAATTTGACAGCAATACACCAAACTACAAAACAACCTGGCATTCTATAAGATCAGTATATAATTGAGATAGCTGTAAAGTTCGATGAAATCCATGTTGATATGAAAAAGTTATAAAAAAATTTAAAGGTGACTATCTGAATTTAGTCTGTTCTGAAAATTTTAGCTTTTTTTCTACCTACTAATTAGAATTGACAGCAATACATTAAACGACCAAACAACCTGGTATTCTGTAAGATCAATATATAATTAAGATAAATCTATAGTTTTATGAAAATCCAAGTTAATTTGGAAAAGTTAAAAAAATTATTTTAAAGGTGACTGTCAAGACTGGTCGAAACTTAGTCAAAACATCTCCAGTAAAGAAATAGTCGTATTCAAGTCTCAGTTTTGATACTTATGTCAAAGATATGTTGTCAATAGACATAAGAAGATACGGTATGAGTGCCAATGAGACAACTCTCCATCCAAGTCACAATTTATAAAAGTAAACCATTATAGGTCAAAGTACGGTCTTCAACACGGAGCCTTGGCTCACACCAAACAGCAAGCTATAAAGGGCCCTAAAATGACATGTGTAAAACCATTCAAACGGGAAAACCAACGGTATAATCTATATAAAAAACTTAACTGAAATGTCAGCTTTGTTCATAAATTCAAAGATATATTGTCAGTATGTTCATAAAGTCTGAATTGTTAATATGTTTCTAAATTATTAATTAAATTGTCAGTATCTTTTTCTAAAGTCAAAGATATGTTGTCAGTATGTTCCTTAAGTCTTAATTAAATTGTAAGTTTTATTCATAAAGTCAAATATATGATGCCAGTATATTCCTAAAATCTTCATTAAAGTGCCAGTTTTTATTCCTAAAGTCAAATATATATATAAATTCTGTATGTTCCTTAGTTCTTTATTGAATTGTCAGTTTCGTTCCTAAAATCAGAGATATGTTGTCAATATGTTCCTAAAGTGTTGATTAAAATGTCAGTTTTTATTCTTACGGTCAAATATAGGATGTCGGTTTGTTTCTTAAACTAGAGATGCTTTTCAGCTTGCTCTTCAAGTCCGTGAAAGATTGTTATTGTGTTCGTCAAGTCGACGGTATTTAGTTAGTAGGTTCTTCAAGTCAACGGTATGTAGTTAGCATGAGTTTCGAATCTGAGGTAGATAGTTTATATGTTCTTCAAGTGCGAGTTGTATTGTCAGTTTATTCCTGAAGCCAAAGATATATTGTCAGTATGTTCATCAAGTCTAAGTTAGTTTGACTTTATGCTAATCAAGGTTTTCAAAATGTTCCTCAAGATAAATGTAGGTTGTTCCGCAAGTCTGAGTAAGATTGGAAGAATATTCCTCAAGTATATGCTGTATTGTCAGTATGTTCCGCAAGTGTGAGTTAAATTTTCAGTACGATCCTAAAGTTTGAGTTAAATTTTCAGTATTTTCCTCAAGACTTGGTAGAAATACACAATCAGGAAAAAACTTAAAATTGACACTCATAATTTTAAACCTCCCTCTTTCTATTGCTTTCTAAGAAATAACGCTTAATATTTGTGTGATGCTATAGATTTTATTTCCAATAGTTAAAGTGGTGAAATATTATCTTTTTTTGGTGTAACCATGACAACAATCTGCATTCATATGATACGCAATATTGCAAAAAGGCGGTGAAAATGTCACAAAAGTCACCAAAATTTGATCCAAAGTAGAATTTCAATCCATTAGAGGATAACCTTTTCGGAAACCATTGCCAATTATCTATATATATGCTCTTGAAGCATGATTACTAGTAAGATTGCCATTATCTTCGAAAAATCTTAATCGTATTTCAAGTTTCTTAAAAAAAATAGAGTTAGTTTTCATAACATTTCTCAAAAAATGAGTTAAATTGTCGGTTGCAAATCTGTTAGTTTGTTAGTATGTGTGCAAGCCTGAGTAAGTTTGACAGCTCGGGCCTCTTCCTTTAATTGTCTGTAACGTCCCTAAATTATTCGTTAGCATGTTCCTCAAAACAGAAACTCAATGACAAAAATAATAAAATTCTTTTACAGGTATTTTAGTTGGACAGTATTTACATCAAGTTACACCACACTTAGCGTTAGGTTGCGAGGGTTTATATCGTCAATATCCGGAAATACCACATGGTGAAAACATAACCGTATCAACAGTAAATGCTGATAGCTCTTGTCTTCGATCTTATCCAGAAGTATTGCAAGCTAAATATACAGCCGCATTTTCGTTAGCTGCTAAATTTACTGGTAAATTATTTCTTAAGCATGTTCTTTGCCAGTTGGGCAAAAAAAATAGATGACTGCCGAGATTATGTACCTACTTCAAATCCACACTGTTTTTATCCCAAGTACATTCTTTGAGATATATATTGCATATCACACACAAGGTAAACCAATTTTTGAACTGACATGGTGAGGAAAGAAATGTACATAGGGTTCGAGCCACTGTTCAGTTAACGCACATTTACTTCAATCAATGAATCATTCGTAGATTTTATGAATATAATATATTTGTGAAATGCAATCTAATCCAATATTCCATCATTTGCCTGTGATAGTCGAACTTTCCGACCCACCCCTATTATGATCCATTATTTCGCCAACTACTTAGGAGTAATTTCTTATTTGTTTCCCCCTTTGAATTAGGATGAAATGTTTGTCATATGCGTTGAGCAAACAAAAATCAATCAATCTACTTTTATGAATTATGGAATAACATTCCAATATCATACTGTTCCATATTTCGTGATCGTATAGAGTAAAATGCGTTGTGTTTATATGAAGTAGAACAAACATCTATACAAATGAACGATTTAATAATAAACGACAATATTAAAGACGTTAACACATAGATGCCATGAGGTTACGTAGACAGTGCTAACTCATATACATACACTTATGATCTATCCCGTGGAACTTTTTAGTCTATTTATCTTCAACATAAGCGGGACCGACAGTTGAAGTTTAAATCAACAATGTATCAAACTTAAGAAAATGTCTGTGAAATGAATATAAATAACATTACTGAAACTCTAAAAACAACATCAAATTATAACTGAATCAAGTTGCGTTTGAAATTGTTCTCAATTATGATAACAGTCTATTATGATTATTGTTTTGTAAACGAACACTCCTCTAAGTATTTTAGATCCAACCTTGTCATTATGATTTATCTTCAGTAGGTACTTTGACAAACGGTCTATTAGTGAGTCCAATTTTTTACGCCTAATTGCTTATAATAGTCAAACCATCGCCACCGCGCACAAAGTCCTCGATGATTCCACTGTTCCGTACAGTTCATCATGAATCCATACGATGTCTACGTTATTTATCCTCTGTATATTATTTCTTCTTGCTCTTTGGGATTCCCGTAGTGATGTTAGGTACTTCTTCTATCATCTCGTCCGATAGTGGTGTATAAGCTCTTTCACTTTAATGCTCGTGCAAACGTTAGTGTTATTCTAGTGTCCTTGATTTCCCTGTGTTCATTTGAAATTGTTTGATATGAGTGTAGACATGCATTCTTCCTCTTTTTCTTCTCTTTTCCGGGTACTTGTTGAATCTTTCTTTACTGGGTGGTGCAGAATGTAATGAATGGCTCGTCCTCGTTGCCTCCTACCGTTTCGACGAAACTGCGCTTCTCCTGGTCTGTATTTATGTCGCCACAAAATTTTAAAAAGTTTAGTCCCTGGTTTTAGAGGTTAACGACTCTGCTGATCTCCTGTTTTGCAACTTTATCGTTTATTGTTTGTTCAGAACATTCTTCAATCCGAAGGAGTTTTGCTACTTGTGTTTCATCCTCATATCCTATCAATGTTGTTGAAAGTTCTTTGATATTCTTCTTTATTGTTTTAGTTTGTAGTTTTCGTTTATTTGAATGGACTTTAATTTTACACCTTTCATTATCATAGTCCTCTTTTGAGTGACTAGTAAATAGATAACTTTAGCTGTATTTGGCAAAACGTTTAGTATTTTTGGTCCTCAATGCTCTTCAACTTTGGCCTTTTAAACCTTTTTTTAATCGAGAGTCACTGTTGAGTCTTTTGTAGACGAATCGTGCGTCTGGTGCAAATATGTTAGTGTCGGCGCTCTGATTTTGTGATCATAAGGGAATTTGTTCGGTTTTCAAGAAGAGGGTCGAATTTTGTTAAATAGCAGAGGCATGCATGATCGATGTGCCATTTTCTCTTTAACTAGTAATATGCTGACTCTGTGATTGTTGATTGGATGATGCATTACACAATCGTGTGTTGTGCATACGGTGACATTCACGACAAGTGTTTTTCGATCTACATTCTGATATCTAATGGTAAATCTAACAGTTGAATCATAAATTTTTCTTCTTTATTATTTCCATTCTTAAATTGCAATCTGTGAACGTTTCAATTCTGCGGGGGAAATACTGACCAATTGCAATAAATCCAACTTTTACTCTCGGGATAGTTGTCAATTTTTGGTTTATATAAGTTATTTCTCTTTCTGATAACTGCATAAAAACTTGCGGTAGTGAAAACATTTGCTACTTTTGCATGTATACTTGCTTCTTGAATCGATAGTTCTCTTTGTATGGTCTATCGAAGATTTCTAAGGTGCCAGTCATCGTTTCCGTTTTCTCTTGTTATGTTGCTTTTCATGGTAATGAGAAGTTTCCAATGCATAACTTGTCTCGAAAAACAACCATACGAATACTTGCATTTCCAAAAATGTATCTGAGGGTGCTCGCAAATTTTGTGTGTTTTTTCGAAGCTATTTATCAATAATTCTACGGTCTAAGTTCAAACCAGTTGTAACATTCCTAGCGTTTGCACAAAGACGTGACTGTAGGTAGGTAAATTGCTAAATCTGTTAAAGTATGATTGTTGTAAATGGTGGTTTTGAACGACTCTTAAAGTATTTCCACTTAAGTATGTTCCTAGAAAACGTAGGACGGGTTCTTCGGCCAGCAATGATTTTGACCTGACATTGAACTGGTCTGCGATAAAAAGCTACATGTTTCAATTTTCATTACAAGCCGTGGTCCTGGGTGTACTTCATGCGCGCCGGCAGGACAGGACTTGCACTTGTGATGCTCTTATGCGACAATTCTGCACATGTCCGTGCAGTTTTTTGTGTTACTTTCTTATAGCGTCGTAAAAAGGTTCAAATTATAAGTTAAACTCATCTGCATCTGTGATTTTCACTTCTATATTTTCTACCTATGTTTTTTCCTGGATCTGTTTATCCAGTTTAAGAACTACACTTTGTTTTTTTCCAATATGAACCATGCCAGACCTAGTCTGAACCATACTCGACCTAGTCTGAACCATACTCGACCTAGTCTGAACCATACTCGACCAAGTCTTTACCAACCTAGACCCATTTTTTGTATTGATCTATTGTATTTCATCAATTTAAGAACTATTTTTAATAACAGCTATTTCCCCTGGCTAGAAATTTAAACAACAATTTGAAATTAAAAATGTATTCAATATAGCATTGAAACCAAAAGTTTACAATAAAAATATTATAACTTCAACACCATATTCATCAACACTTTATAAATACTAGTATATATATCACCTTTAAAATAAAAATAAAACAATCTGCCCATATAATCTCAAAACTGGATTGTGACTAATAGATTCAATATTATTCAAAATTTTTTGAATGTTTCAAACATATTTTATGGTTACTGGACTAATTTCACCATTAACCTAGGCTAATTTATGGTGTCAGTTGAGTTTAGTTAATAATGCAGTGAACTTTTTTTTTATTAAAATAAATATAGAATAGTAAATAAAGCTATAACTTAATAAATTTAAAAAATGACACCTTTGAATTTATAATGAAAATAATGGAACTTCCGTAGCTATCCTTGATAACCTTTTAAAAAAGGAAATGTGTTTTCCAAAGTAACTGTAAAAATTCATTTCAATTAGATTTAAATAAATTTTGTCAAAATTAAAGACATGGCAAACAAGAAGAACTTTAATAATGATTAATTACATCAGTACATGTGTGTTTTACAGGTAAAAAGAAAGCCCTTTTTTCTTAAACTTGTGTATTACTTATCTAGTGAATTCAAAAGGCCGTGCAAACTAATTTAAACAGGATGTTGCAATTTGGAATAAATGTTATTTAAAATTTAATACTCTTTGACTAGGTGTGATCTTTTTAACGAGTTTGTCCCAAGCAGGAGGTATTACTTCATACTTCGATCACCACTAATCAGAAGAATTTTATTAATTTCATTTTTCTTTTTATCCCTTTTTGATATATATTATATATAAAATATCCCAAATTATAATAATTGGTTAAACAATTTCATTTATTTTGTTGGTTGTTGTTTCCTCATTGAAAAGATGATTATATAACTATTGTAGGTTTTATTTAGGAATTTAGGGAAATTAATTTTAAAAAACCCACACACATGAAAACAAGTTGCAGCTTAATAAGTTTTAATAACCCTCAGTATAGGTGTGGTTTTTAGGTAAAAAAAATGAAATTTGTTTTAACAGTTAGACTTAAAAAAAATAGAGCTTATTTGGTCAAGTATGGTTAGACTGGTCGAGATGTTCAGACTTTTGGTCGAGTATTGGTTTAGGCTGAAAATATAGGTCGAGTACAGGTCGATTATGGGTTTTGATTGTTTCAGACTGGTCGAGTAATAATTCAGACTATTTTCAATGACATAGATAAGGTTCAAGTTATCAGTACAGTCGAGCATGGTTAAGACTGGGGTCGAGTAATGTCGAGAAAAATTCAGACCAATGCAGACTGGTTGAGCAAAAATCAGTACAGTCGAGTACAGGTATAGGACATTTCAGACTTTTACTGGTTTGTAGTTATATATAGCTTGACATTACATGGACAGCGCTAACGCATAAAAATACATGCATATATTATGAAAGGCTCTATTTATCCTCAACACCAGGCATCCAACCTGATCATAACCACTACGGTAGACCCTTTTTTATATATAATAAAGGAATCCTTTCTGCTTCAAGTATGCATGTATGGTAATATTCTTTACAAAGCACAAACAATGTCAGTATTCACCTCAAAAGCTAACAAAACCTTTAAACAGACTTATTAAGAAGGGATATAGTTACGATACTGTTGTCAGGTCATTAAAGATTGCATATTTTGGCTTTAATATTGATTCACTTATAGGGTCTTTGCATCGGAATTAAACATATTTATTCTAAAACCAGTTGTTGGCATGACACGGGTTATGTTCTTCTCATATATTTTATGATAGTATAATACTAAACCCCTAACAGGAGGGATTGTGCCTGATATTCATATGATGAAGACATAATCTTTCAATCAGTTTAATTGAGGTCTGGAGCTGGCATGTCAGTAACTGCTAGTAGTCTGTTGTTATTTATGTATTATTGTCATTTTGTTTATTTTCTTTTGTTTCCTATTCTGACATCGGACTCGGACTTCTCTTGAACTGAGTTTTACTGTGCGTACTGTTGTACGTTTGTTTTTTCTACATTGGTTAGAGGTATAGGGGGAGGGTTGAGATCTCAAAAAACATGTTTAACCCCGCCACATTTTTGTGTCTGTCCCAAGTTAGGAGCCTCTGGCCTTTGTTAGACTTGTATCATTTTTAATTTTAGTTTCTTGTGTATAATTTGGAGTTTAGTATGACGTCCATTATCACTGAACTAGTATACATATTTGTTTAGGGGCCAGCTGAAGGACGCCTCCGGGTGCGGGAGTTTCTCGATGCATTGAAGACCCATTGGTGGCCTTCGGCTGTTGTCTGCTCTATGGTCGGGTTTTTGTCTCTTTGACATATTCCCCATTTCCATTCTCAATTTTATTTGAAATGAGAATGAACACTTTATATATTATGCAGAGATAAGCATTTTTTTAACTTCTCTATCTGATTCAACAGTCTTGATTTTCATGTGCATTCAACAGATATAAATGAAACTTTGCCTGTGGAATTGAAAAGACTGATTTAATTTGATATATCTGATCACAATACTTTTACCTATGGATAGCAGTTACGTGACTTCAGTTTTTATGCAAACACTTTTTCTTGTAGGTGATGAATGGACTTTGTCTGGTAACTTCAGTCCTTTAGTTGGTGATGCTCATCTTTGTTATCACCATAAAATAACAGAAGAGTTAGACGTAGGAGCGGTGATAGAAACTAGATTTGCACATGGAGAGAGTGTTTGTAAGCTTGGTTACCAGTTGAATTTCCCAGAAGCTTCAATGAAATTCAGAGGTATGGTAATTCGTTACTAGAACAAAGTTGCTAAATAATAAATGATATTTGCATTTAATATTGCCTGTCATAATCCCCGGAATCATTAGATTAAAATGGGAAACTGGCTGATAGGGAGAAAAGTAGTAGGTAGCGTAGTTTTAGGCTACTCTAAGCTTTCGGCATTCACAAATGTGGTCTGGATCCCATTTTTTCATGCCATTCCCCTCCCTACCCGATCAACGAAAGTCGATACATGGATCCTCGTATGAATCATTTCAGAAGTAGGTCTATATTTTGTCGTTTTGTGGTTTTTCATATACGATGCCGCGATATCTTCGTTCAAAACACCAGTCGATTGAAATATCGAGATATTTCCCGGGCGTACGTGCCGATCACAAGTTCTGAACCCAAAAAGACCCGTTTCGTTGGTATTGAAAATTTCGGAACGGTGCACATTCTGATTCAACGTCAAATATGTAGCTTTTGTGCAGTTCAGTCCTAAATGCGCCACTGTTATTTTTTCAAAAAGCAAAAGATCATCAAAGCTGGATACGTGAAGGTAAAATCTATCCATTTACAAGTTTTGCTTAAAAATATATAAATAAATTAAATCAATAAAAAAGACAATTCAAGGTAACAAAAAAAAAGAGAAAATCGTCTCAACCCCAGAAGAAGGGAGACTGGGTGCATCGAAACGGTAAGCGTCTCCGGGTAAATAATAAAAAAAAAAACAATTTTGATCTGACCGTCACTGATGAGTCTTTGTAGAGGAAACGCGCGTCTGGCGTATTAAATTATAAGCCTAGTACCTTTGATAACTATTTACACCACTGGGTCAATGCCACTGCTAGTTGACGTTTCTTCCCCGAGGGTATCACCAGCCAAGTAGTCAGCACTTCGGTGTTGACATGAATATCAATTATATGGTCATTTTTGTAAATTTACTGTTTGCAAAAGTATGAATTATTCGAAAAACTAGGGATTTTCTTACCCCCAGGCATAGATAACCTTAGCCGTATTTGGCACAACTTTTTGGAATTTTGGGTCACCAATGCTCTTCAACTTTGTACTTGTTTGGCTTTCTAACTATTTTGATCTAAGCGACACTGATGAGTCTAATGTAGACGAAACGCGCGTCTGGCGTATTAAATTATAAGCCTGGTTCCTCTGATAACTATTTACACGACTGGGTCGATGCCACTGCTGGTGGACGTTTCGTCCCCGAGGGTATCGCCAGCCCAGTAGTCAGCACTTCAGTGTTAACATGAATATCAATTATATGGTAATTTTTGTAAATTTACTGTTTGTAAAATTCTGAATTATTCGAAATACTAAGGATTTTCTTATCCCAGGCATAGATAACCTTAGCCGTATTTGGCACAACGTTTTGGAATTTTGGGGCATCAATGCTCTTCAACTTTGTACTTGTTTGGCTTTCTTACTATTTTGATCTGAGAGACACTGATGAGTCTTATGTAGACGAAACGCTCGTCTGGCGTATTAAATTATAAGCCTGGCATCTTTGATAACTATTAACACCAATGGGTCGATTCCACTGCTGGTGGACGTTTTGTCCCCGAGGGTATCACCAGCTTAGTAGTCAGCACTTCTGTGTTGACATGAATATCAATTATATGGTCATTTTTATAAATTTACCTTTTGCAAAATTATGAATTATTCGAAATAAAAAGGATTTTCTTATCCCAGTCATACCTCACCTTAGCCGTATTTGGCACAACTTTTTGGAATTTTGGGGCATCAATGCTCCTCAACTTTGTACTTGTTTGGCTTTCTAACTATTTTGATCTGAGCGTAACTGGTGAGTCTTCTGTAGACGAAACGTGCGTCTGGCGTATAAAATTATAAGCCTGGTACCTTTGATAACTATTTCCACGACTTGGTCGATTCCACTGCTGGTGGACGTTTCGTCCCGATGTTATTACCAGCCCAGTAGTCAGCACTTCGGTGTTGACATGAATATCAATTATATGGTCATTTTTTATAAATTTACTGTTTGTAAAATTATGAATTATTCGAAATACTAAGGATTTTCTTATCCCAGGCATAGATAACCGTAGCCGTATTTTGCACAACTATCTGGAATTTTGTGGGCATCAATGCTCTTCAACTTTGTACTTGTTTGGTTTTCTAACTATTTTGATCTGAGCGACACTGATGAGTCTTATGTAGACGAAACGCGCGTCTGACGTATTAAAGTATAAGCCTGACACCTTCGATAACTATTTACACCAATGGGTCGATTCCACTGCTGGTGGACGTTTCGTCCCGATGTTATTACCAGCCCAGTAGTCAGCACTTCGGTGTTGACATAAATATCAATTATATGATTATTTTTATAAATTTCCTGTTTGCAAAAGTATGAATTATTCGAAATATTAAGGATTTTCTTATCCAAGGCATAGATAACCTTAGCCGTATTTGGCACAACTTTTTGGAATTTTGGGGCATTAATGCTCTTCAACTTTGGACTTGTATGGCTATCTTACTATTTTGATCTGAGAGTCACTGATGAGTCTTATGTAGCCGAAACATGCGTCTGGCGTTTTAAATTATAAGCCTGGTACCTTTGATAACTGTTAACACCACTGGGTCGATGCCACTGTTAGTGGACGTTTCGTCCCCGAGGGTATCACCAGCCCAGTAGTCAGCACTTCGGTGTTGACATGAACATCAATTATATGATCATTTTTATAAATTTACTGTTTGCAAAAGTATGAATCATTCGAAATCCTAAGGATTTTCTTATCCCAGGCATGGATAACCTTAGCAGTATTTGGCACAACGTTTTGGAATTTTGGGGCATCAATGCTCTTCAACTTTGCACTTGTTTCGCTTTCTTACTATTTTGATTTGAGCGTCACTGATGAGTCTTATGGAGACGAAACGCGCGTCTGGCGTTTTAAAGTATAAGCCTGGTACCTTTGATAACTGTTAACACCACTGGGTCGATGCCATTGTTAGTAGACGTTTCGTTCCCGAGGGTATCACCAGCCCAGTAGTCAGCACTTCGGTGTTGACATGATTATCAATTATATGGTCATTTTTATAAATTCACTGTTTGCAAAAGTATAAATTATTCCGAATACTAAGGATTATCTTATCCCAGGCATAGATAACTATTCTATATATTTAAAATAAAAATTGAATCATGTAATCTGATATAAATTTTTTTCTGTTTCCAGGTAGCGTAGATACGAATTGGGGACTAGAAGCAACATTGGAAGAAGAATTATCACCACTTTTTCCGTTCACATTTGCTTTAAGTGGAATGGCTAGTTTTGCTAATTTTCAAAGACCTCTATATCGCTTTGGTATAGGACTTATAATTGGATAATAACTTGCAGTATATTTTCTGATTGTGTACATAATTGTGTGAGAACTTTACGAAGTTTAAAGATATAACTTCTGGTATGACTGCCTATTACTGAAAGCTGTTTTATGGTACTTTTACTGATGATACGATGATTGTATTCGTGTTCTCCAGTTTTTATTGAAAATATTTGGTAATTCAAGTTATTGAAAATTTCGTTTTCTTATTTGTAAGAATACAGCAGTATATTGTCATTTTATTCATTTACATCAAGTACATGATTTTTTTCTGATTTATTTCATTCATCAAAATATTAATTACTTTTCTTATTCATTTCTTCGTATCTGTAGAAATTTCTAATATTTACAATTTTCACATGATAGATATGACATATATGAGTAAGACAACTTTTCGAAATTGAATCAACTTGATTGTGTGAAAGTAGACGATAAACTTTCATTTAACTAAACCGTTTTTTACTGGACTTTGCCTCTAGTTTCTATTATCTCTCGCCACTTTTTAACAAAAACTGCTAGTTATATAAATCTATGCTCTGCAAAATCAAACAGATCATCAGATTAAGAGACTTTTTACAACAACAGTGTACCATTATTTGTAGGCACAGATTTTAATTGCAAAGTTTGCTGTAACTTTTTTACATTCACAATTTTTTCTGGTCAATTGATTTGATATAAAATGAATAACTTTTATAGAAACTGCAATATAAGAATCTAATGCCATGACTTTGTTAATTCCAAAAAAATTGACTAACATCATTATGAAATGAAAACTTTCTCTTTAAGATTAACTAATAATTATATAGAACATGAAATTCAACAGATTCAAAAGTAACATTATTTTCAAAAATGTATGTTTTCAATTATTTGTTGTGGATGATTTGCAGTGAAAATTTTGTGTTTTTGTGTTTTTATCAAAGTCTTAATTTCCAGAAACCCGTTGTTCAGTAAGGAAAGAAAACATGCACAATCATATTTCTTTCTAATTTAAAAAATTACATCGTAGATGTAGTTAATGAAAAACATAACTAAACTTTTAATGAAAAGCTTGAAAACACCATTTTAACGAAAGAAGATGTTCTTGAGATTAAAATAATTACATACAGGTATCCATTACTGAAATATAATATGCCATAAATTGCCTACTTTTCAGGATGTCAAATTAAACATAGCTTAAACTATGCAAACAAGCCTTTATGGCGTTAAACTTATGTTCAATTTATGTGATTATGTGCTCTAAATTTCCTATTTAATCGTAGTTTTAAATTTGTGTCTGTAAAAATCTGGTTATCTGGAATAGATAAAGGCAACAGTAGTATACCGCTGTTCGAAATTCATAAATCGATTGAGAAAAAAACAAATCCGGGTTACATACTAAAACTGAGGGAAACACATCAAATATAAGAGGAGAACTACGACACAACAGAAACACAACATTAAAATGTAACCCACACAGAAACGAACTATAATATAACAATGGCCATTTTCCTGACTTGGTACAGGACATTTTAAGAAAAAAATGGTGGGTTGAACCTGGTTTTGTGGTTAGCCAAACCTCCCGCTTTTATGGCAATGCTAAATATAACATTACAATGACAACATTACATGACAGGACTACAATACAAATAAATGGGAGAACATATAGGACAGAGAAACATACGAATAATAGCTAACAAAAGGTACCAGGTTTAAAATTTAATACGTAAGACGCGCGTTTCATCCACACAAGACTAACCAGTGACGCTCAGATAAAAAAAGTACGAAAGCCAAAACAAGTACAAAGTTTAAGAGCATTGAGGACCAAATATGTGTTGTTGGTTTTTCTTGGGAGGAGCAGGGGTGTGTGGTTGGTGTGATCTGTTATTACTGTCAAACATTTTTAGCAATTCATGCTATGCTTTTTATATATTATGTAATCAAACTTAATAAATTCATATACTGTTGTTATAACATCAACTAAGACATTTATATTTTAGTCATTTATGAAGATCATAAATTTATTTTATGATTGGATTCTAAGACTGGCTTGTAATTTTGTGTTTTTGAATAACATTGTGAAAACATGTATATCTGTGATTACAATAAAATCTTTCACTACATAATGATGTCTTTTTTATTCAGGTTTTATTTCTTCATGCAGTGTTTTAAATCTAGAATTGTACAGACCTCGTTGTAGTAAAAGTTTACCGGGGTATATACATTTTATGGCATTGTTGAATTATCATCTTCCTTGCTTATTACTGATATAGAATATTGACTCTCTAGAATGAATGTAGGTCTCTACTGATAATATCAAATTTTGAATTGAGGTAAATACGACTGCAAGGAATATCACAATGGCGATATAGGGAATGCAAATCATACTTTTTATTAGTCTGAAGAAAACAAAAACTGGAAAAGAACATTATGGTAGAAAAACAGTGATGTATTTTAAAAATAATAAATTTTATTCCTCTACATGTGGATTAATGATGTGTTGGTTTTGGATTTGGTGACATGCATTATTGCATCTAATTTTATTAAAACCTTTCTCTGCCAATAGAGTTGATGACAAATATTTAACACTAAAATTAATTTTCTTGGCGTAACCTTTTATGCCAAGCATATGTTGTAGTCTGCTACATTGATACCGATGTAGTCAATGCTTTAAATGCAATTCAGTTTTCTCCCATTTTCGTTTATTGTTTTATACAAGTGCTATGAATGAGATCTTAATTGTCATTTCAAATTGTATTGCATACACATGCTTTGCAGGAATGTAATTATATATTTTATCTATTTATTTTTTACCTATGCCTTGAAGGAGAAGTTAATATTCCTTTCGTCTTTTGCTTTGTAGCCATTCTTTGAAAGAGAAGATGATATTCATTTCGTGTATTGATTTATACCTATACTTTGTAGAAAAAGTCAATATTCATGAAATCATGCTTTGAATGAGGAGTGATTTCGTCTTTATTTTTCGTTGTTAATCAATATTCTGAAGGAGGAGTAACTATTTGTTTCATCTTGGTTATATATATATATTCTAAGGAAGGGTTAATATATTACTGCTACATGTACCTATTGCGTTTAATATTCATTTATAAGCATGCGTATTACTATGAACTATTGTCTATCTGTCTGAGCATGTCTTCCAATTGTTAAACTTTGCTAAATATATTCATTACAAACATTTACTCATTAGTTCCATACAGACTAACTAAATTACGATTTTGACAATTTTTACATAATTCTTACTTCAAACATGCTGCAATGCCAAAAACTACTCATTTTTAAACATATCTGATGATAACCGACTATGCTTCTGAATCAACGTATTCTGGGGGACCTTTTACCCAATTTATTGATTTAAAAAGACAGCTTTTATTTTATGTTAATTAAGAAATAATTCATGGAAGCCATAGATTTGTTGGAAATTTACACATGGCCTGGGCCGTGATATTCGAGTTTTTTCCTGCGCGTTCGCAATGGATAAAATTAAAGAATATCACGGCCCAGGCCATGTGTAAATTTACAACAAATTTATGGCTTCCATGAATTATTTCGATTTTAATAGGACAAATACGGTCATTTATAAACTGAAGCGATAGTGGGAATGACGTGTGTGCTGCTGTTCTTTTTTACTCCCTGTTAGATAAAGCTTTAACTTTCTAATAAATCTGTTGCTTGCATGAATTATTTCGTTAATAACCGCTGGAAAAGATGAACTTTATTCTTTTAATTCTCAAACCGAACATTTGCCATTTTTAATCTCCATATATATTTTGTCTATTTATTTTTTACCTATGCCTTGAAGGAGAAGTTAATATTCCTTCCGTCTTTTGCTTTGTAGCCATTCTTTGAAAGAGAAGATGATATTCATTTCGTGTATTGATTTATACCTATACCTTGTAGAAAAAGTCAATATTCATGAAACAATGCTTTGAATGAGGAGTTAATTCGTCTTTTGTTTTCGTTGTTGATCAATATTCTGAAGGAGGAGTTACTATTTGTTTCACATTCTTGGTTTTATATATATATATATATATATATTCTAAGGAAGGGTTAATATATTACTGCTACATGTACCTATTGCGTTTAATATTCATTTATAAGCATGCGTATTCCTATGAACTATTGACTATCTGTCTGAGCACGTCTTCCAATTGTTAAACTTTGCTAAATATATTCATTACAAACATTTACTCATTAGTTCCATACAGACTAACTAAATTACGATTTTGACAATTTTTACATAATTCTTACTTCAAACATGCTGCAACGCCAAAAACTACTCAATTTTAAATATATCTGATGATAACCGACTATGCTTCTGAATCAACTTATTCTGGGGGACTTTTTACCCAATTTATTGATTTAAAAAGACAGCTTTTATTTTATGTTAATTAAGAAATAATTCATGGAAGCCATAGATTTGTTGGAAATTTACACATGGCCTGGGCCGTGATATTCGATTTTTTTCCTGAGTGTTAGCAAGGGATAAAATTAACGGATATCACGGCCCAGGCCATGTGTAAATTTACAACAAATTTATGGCTTCCATGAATTATTTCGATTCTAATAGGACAAATACGGTCATTTATAAACTGAAGCGATAGTGGGAATGACGTGTGTGCTGCTGTTCTTTTTTACTCCCTGTTAGATAAAACTTTAACTTTCTAATAAATCTGTTGCTTGCATGAATTATTTCGTTAATAACCGCTAGAAAAAATGAACTTTATTCTTTTAATTCTCAAACCGAACATTTGCCATTTTTAATCTACATGTTTTTATCGTAAGCTACGGTCAAATCCAAAGATGACATTTCGTAACTAAGGAGCCGCCATGTTGACTTGCTGAAATCAGTAAATATGCGAATAATGCATTTGAATAGAAAATAAAACAACACCTACCCCAATGAATCATTTTGATGTAAAAGTATACGAATTTCAATGGTTTACGTAATGGAAAAACCTTTAGCTTTAGCGTGTTCATTTATATGTCGTCATGTTTTGAAATGACTTAAATGCGCCAAAAGCATTCATGAACTTTCGCGGATTTTATTTTATTTTGATTTGTAGATTACTCCGATCTCTGGTGCATTAATTCTTTTTGATATGCATTCGAATAAGAATAAAAGTTCTGTAGTCTTATTTCAATTTCAGTTTTTAAAAAAATATATCGGCATAGCGTTTGTAAATAGATTCTGATACATGTGGATTTACGTGGGAGGTATATTGTGACATCCATTATTATGTATCTCCCTGAGTCTAAGTACAGATATATCGAAAATTTTATCACGGTGTTGTATACAAAGCGAAAAAGCACGTCATATTAGAATGATATTTAGACTTATCATTCTAGAGTTATATACTTTAAATTGTCAAAATCAACTGATAATTATACGTTTCACAACGAGTTAGAATTGGATATCGCTCGATATCAACTCGAGTTATATAATTTCAATATAATAATAAACGAGCCTTTGGCTATTTTATTAATACTATTTAAATTAAATAAAGAGAGTTGATTTCAAGCGATATCTAATTTTCACAAGTTGTTTAACCTATCTCTTTTATGGTCAACACTCTCAATGTGTAAAGTAAAAAATTTGCGAAATGTTAATCTAGTCTGTTCCACATTCTCGTATGACGTTGTATGTCCTTTTCCGGTGTCAAACTTAATTATCAGACATTTTAAGACGTTTTGTACGCTTAAGAATGTAATCAAATTTCACAAAAAAAAGACTGTCAGGTGACATGTCTAAGTGGTTTGTATACTACTGAAGAAATCATACATGTCTATTACCATGGACGAAATGTACATTATCTTAACCTTTGAAATTCATCAATGACCTATCAAATAGCCAATTGAAATACCGTTATATCGTTTTGTGATACTGGATAAGCCAATCAAATTAACGCAGATTTTTGTATCACCTTTTTGTATCAAACTCCGTGCAGTGTGATAAGAGATTTATCTATTCATGCAAGAAATAGACAACAGGCCACAACCATAAGAGAAAACAAGTTATTTTTGACTAAATCAAATGCTGTAACAATACAATAGCTCATATTAGTTATTTCCCTATTAAATTTGTCATTTTTCCGATTTGTCATTGTGGCATATAACTATGTACTAATTACGGATTCACTAAATAACTAATGGCTTTCTAGAATGATAATTAAAAGTAACGCAGTGTTGCCTTTCAGATATACATGTGAATACAATGGCCATTCTCACTGATTTGTTGACGGGCTTATCATCAAACTCATACCATAAAGGGAGAGGGTTATATTTGTAATTCTGAAAACAAAATTAAAAAAAAAATGTATACAAAGGGATTTTCTTTTAGTTCCGTTTCAAACTCCTTAATTCTACAATTTGTGTTGTTCTAGAATCCATTTGGAAAATGTTTTTATTGTAACTTTTCGGTTTATATAGTTTTAATTGTTTGAAAAATTTGAATGCTGTTGTCTTGGACCCTTCCTATTTTTCCTCTTCAGTTGTTGCTCTTTTTTGCTTGGTGCTTGTCTGTGTTTAACACATTTTACTCTAGATTTTACTTTCCAAAGTTTTGGTCTCAAGAGTATCTGATGAAGAATATTACAAAAACATCGATGTCAGGCGTTTAAATATGCCATTTTGATTCGATAATAGTATTCTACGTTTACAAATTGGTTTCAGAAAAAAATGGTATCGTTAATGTTATTACCAAAAGGGGTAGGCTCAGTAGTCAGTTCTTCGGTACTTATATGTTTTTTTAATAACACTTTCTTAATTTCTCCGTTGATATATTCAGAAATTATAAGAAAGAAAGTTTGACTTTCTAACTTTTTTGATCTGAGCGTCACTGATGAGTCGAATGTAGACGAAACCCGCGTCTGGTGTATCCAATTATAAGCCTGGTACCTTTGATAACTTTTCCAGCTTCCCAAGGCAAAGTTTGCATAAAATTCACGTGTTTCAGTACGACCACATCTTTGGCTTTCAAATGTTTGAATTTTGACGTTCCTTATAAAGGCAATATTGAAAAGCGCTTCGGACGCACGTAATTTTAAACAAAAACAACAACGTATCATTTTTTTCAATTATCTAGTCATTTACATTGCGTCATAGATCACATTTTTTCGTTCACTTGTGTTAATATGTCCTTTGATAGAGTTAAGCCATTTCAATTGATATTTTATAATGTGTTTTTTATTTAAGTTGTTATGTTACACCATTGTTTCAGATTAGGGTAGAGGTTGGTACCTATTAAAACATTTAAACCCTCTGCATTTGTTTGAACCTGTCCTAAGTCAGGAATATGATGTTCAGTAGATGTTGTTTGTTGATGGTTCATACGTGTTTCTCGTTTGTTTTGTTTTTTATGTTGATTAGACCTTTGGTTTTCCCGTTTGAATGGTTTTACACATGTTATTTTTGAGGCCCTTTAAACTTGCTATTCGATGTGAGCCAAGTCTTCGTGTTGAAGACCGTACTTTGACCTATTATGGTTTACTTTTACAAATTGTGACTTGGATGAGAGAGTTGTCTCATTGGCACTAATATCATATCTCCTTATATATATTAGCACCACGTTTATTTGATTTATCTTTCCAACATTATGATCAACTGTAAAATTTCGAAAGTATATCATTTCTCTGAGTAGACTTGTAATCTGTCATGCTTTGTGATAATAAAATTCTTAGTTTGTCATTTAGCACGATTTTCAACCAGGGCCATACAAATGTTTAAGAATGTGTAAGTGACGGTTTACAGATTAGATAATAAAGAGCACAAACTATGGACAATAAAGAAAAATGGACCAAAAGATAAATAATGTTGAGAGGATAAATTTCTCAAATTCATTGACCTTTTTATATTAAAGGACAGAAGTTGCACTTTTTCGTGTAAGATTTCTAACAGATATGTTCAGAATTAAAACAAAACTTGTATTTCTTGCTCCAGTCAAAACTACCGAATTATTTAATTTGAGAAAGTTAAATACTATAGATCAGTTTGTTTTATTTAGTAGTATTCTTTTTGTATTGGAGCTATCTGTTTCCACTGTGTATAGTCTTGGACAATAGATAGGAGCCTATTAAGTGATATGATAATATAACTATTTTTGTTTCCCGGAGATTTGATCTGATGCGCACCACTGTCAAACTCGTGTGCAAATTCGCATAGAGTGTGTTTAAAAATTATGCGCACAAATTATAAATTGTCGTGTCCACGCGTTTCAAAGTCGATCGCACCATTTTTAAAGTATTGCGCACGACATTCAAAGTCGTGAACAAGATTTTTCAAACTGGTCCGCACCAGATTAAATCTCCTTGATACGAAAATATTTGTATTTACATGACACTTAATTAAGGGGCTCTGTAGTAATGCATACTCGTTTTCGCATTGAGTTCCAATGTTCCCCAAGAATCACAAATTTTATGTGTCCAAGGGCAATACCAAATTTTATTAATGTCTGGCACGAATTGTATTCGTGAGAACACCTACAATTCAATTGTCTATGGAAAGAAACATATCTCGTTTTAGTTGATGAACACTAATTTACGAAGTGTCTGAGACACCTCTGATATACACCTTTGTTTTATATTAAATAAATCTGGCAATAATTGAACATGAAGGCAAATAAAAACGACTTGAAGTTTTCTGAACGATTGTTTTACGGTTGCAAGAATGTTCTAAATCAACTCCGAGGCTTTTAAACAACTTTGGCACGTGTTCTGTAAATAATGCTGCATGTCTTTCATGGTTATAGCGAACCAATTGCATTAAAGATTCCTTTAGAGAGGGTCTTGTAGCTTCAAGAAGGCTCCTGGGTTCTTCAAGTCAAGATAAAAGAGTTTGAATTATTTCACCAGACGTAAACGACATTCCCCAGACCGTAAAAAAAAAACTAGAAAATCGTAACACAAAAACTCAACAGACTCATTGCAAAATACCGGGTCTCCGTTGAACATGTAATTAGCGAATTTAAGTCATTGAAACTCGTTGGATCCTCCCTCGTCACAAACTTTAAGCTATGTTTTCGGTAGTCATTATTTTGTCAATCGACGAACAATCGGCCTATGAAAATTGCTTACCGAGGTAGAAGGCGAACAAAATATTTTGCCCCTGCTTCGGAGAGCCGCATCGGCCTATGAAAACTTTTAGATTAATACTATAAGGATTAAACATCTTAAAATTGAATGTTCACATAAATTTTATTTTTTTAGATCGCTCCCTCCATCTAAAATGTCTTACTGCGACTCGTATTCAGACTCGGGTCGGAGTCATACACTTATTGTAAATCTCTATTAGAGAGCTATTCGGATTCTGATATATAGATACACAGTCACACTCGGTTTTATTTGGGATTTTAATAACGATAAATACGACAGTGTTGGCATTATGTCAAAATCTCTTTATACAGAACAGCTACTGTAACCCTCTTAACAAAATGAGGTAAACATATGTTTTCTCAGTAAGAAAGTACCAACACCATATACCAACTTCTCTTTCTTTCGGGGAGAAAATTTCAGGAACTGAACTTTTGGCTCTCCCTTGACCTCATTTGCGGATATGGTCTTGAAAAACGATGATAGTCCCTCGGAAGGGGACGATAAATGGCTGATCCGTGTTAGGAATGAGCAATATCTTTGAGCGTAAAGGACACCTTTGTAGATTTCAAAAAAATAGTAGGCTAATGCCGCTACAAGGAAGCACTCGCACCCGCAAAGCGGAAAGGGAATAATATAAGTTGTAATAACTTGTGCCCAATCCACTATCAATAAATATGTTTTAAATAAATATATTTCTCCCCAAGTACAGACAAATTGAAAATCTAATTTACAGTGCCGAGATCCATGAACAGCGCCTTCTTTCCGTGGTACTGGAACAGCACATTTGACGTAGTTAAAATCCTTTTTTCAAAATACTCATCTCTATTCATTTTGATAAATGTTTATGATTGTCAAGAATTTCAATTCAAATCACCATGTGTTCATATGATAGTTGATTGAGATTTCTCCTCGATATTTGTCTTTATATTTTGAACAAAATTAATTCTTTCAATTTGCATTATATCTTGTACATTGTTATTCTATGTTATTTTATATGGAGAAAATCGCTTTCTGAATAGAAACTGAACGCATACTTCAGACCAAAACACATGAAGTGAGGCAGCGAGTAAATAAATCAAACAAATAATGTGAAACAAAAACCAACAAATATCTTTTGATGGTATAATTAGTTTGAAAATTGTTTAAATACTAAATATCTCAATACAAAAAAGACTTGAATAAAATATTTATAGGCAAAACATATATTAATTTAAAACAGATATACAAAAATATGTTCCTAGTGAATGAAAAAGAACAAAAAAGTAAAATCACAAAAATACTGAACTCACAGGAAAATTCAAAACGGAAAGTCCCTAACAAATTGGCAAAATCAAAAGCTCAAACACATCAAACGAATGGATAACAACTGTCATATTCCTGACTTAGGTTCAGGCATTTTCTTATATAGAAACTGGTGGATTAAACCTGGTTTTATAGCTAGCTAAACCTCTCACTTGTATGACAGTCGCATCAAATTCCATTATATTGACAACCATGTGTGAACAAAACAAATAGACACAATAGGCAAAAATGTCAAAAATAGAGGTACAGCAGCCAACACTGTGTTATAATCCCAATCACTATATAAAAAAACAAAAATGTAACAAAGAAGCACAAAAAGGCATACAGACAAAGCACATTAGCAAAAATTAAAGACAAGAATACAAAAATGTTCCATAGCACAATAACACAATGGCGGGATGTATAAGTACAGAGCCACGTCATATGTAACAAAGAAACAGAAAAAGGCATATAGACAAACAAAAAGCAAAATTAAAGACAGGAGTACAAAATGTTTTACAATACCACAATAACACAATGATGGGATATACAGAGTACAGAGCCACGTCATATGTATCAAAGAATCAAACACAATCACAGATTTTAATTGTAAAAAAAAATTTCTCAAAATGTGTTAATTCAATTTTTAAAAAAAGGCATCACATCAGGATAGCAGCAGAATACTCACAAACATTTCATTTCAATGTGTTATATGATAGGCATGATGTTTTCATTTAACGTTTTCCCAGTTTTAAAAATAAAAATATATTTGAATGAAATATGGAATAATAACAAAATCGAGAGGAGAACATAATCAGAGATAAGAATATATGCATGACTTTTAAGACGTTGTAGTTGAATATTTGCTTTAACTTCACAATTTGTTTTAATTGTTTTGATTGATTAGTTGTCAGGCATCAGACCAACCTCGATCTATGCAAAAGGTGAATTACATGTAAATAAATGTTCTTATCATCGCACATGCTTCTTTGCCTTAATTATAGCTTCTCGTTTTTGGTAAATTTATTTTTAAAAGAATTATTCAAAAGTATATTTAAAAACTAAACATATTTGTTTCTTCTTAAAAAAAGGTTTTAATGAAATGAACTATTAACTAAAAAAAACAAATTTTTAAATTATTTACAAAAAGTCCGATATAAACATTCAACTATATAATTGGACAATTAAAGAAGGAATCTAGTTATACTTCTGTTAAATTTTATGCGCACTATACAGTACTTTCCCAATACACACTTGAATAATAACCGAATTAACGCATTTTCTTCTGTCTACATCTGTTGACCACATGCCAAAAATCAACTGACTGTGCTGTAAGAATCCTTAGTTGGTCATCCATGTCTGATGGCATTTGACCAATTACTACCATTAATGAATCATCAATCTGTAAGTCTTCTTCAAACGGTGATGTATCAATATATCCACATAACTGATCACGGAAACTGAAAAATTAGAAATATTGGTCTATACCTTTAGGGTAAAAATAATTCAACAACTCATGGAGAAGAGCTTATCCGTTACAAAGTTTGAAAGTTCTCATTGACCTAACAAATAGCCAATGTAAATGTCGGAATTTCGTTTCACACTGTAGATATGCGAATCATATTAATATATTTTACGTACCCGTTATTCTGCAATGTGAAATAGAGAAAAAGTTCCAATCAGAGCTTAAGATAACTTAATTATAGCGATCTCTTTTGTTAGTGTATCTTGATTTTTTCAGCAATCATATTGTCTGAGTACATCAAACATGCGTTCCGTATACAAAAGACTAATCAGTAAAGCCCGAATAAAAAAAATATAAAAACACACAAAAAAAGTACGAAGTTAAAGAGAACAAGAGATTAGTCTCCGTTTACAAACTGCTATGACTACACATACATTTATCAAATGATATGAAAACGAAATGATAAGGGGTTGCAGTCGAAGTTACCTATGCTTACAACAGTTATAAATCATAAATAAATGGACTAAGACAGTCATTTAAAATGCACCATGCATATGTAATGGGCCAAACCTTCATAATTACAATGTTATATGCCAAAAAAGAAGTTATTTTCAATAACTAGATATACAACATCTATTTCTATATAACACTTGTTGGACTTTCTAGTTAAAAACACACATATAAAACAAATTATAGCCCTTTGAGTATGGTACTGCTCTATAGTCATATGAAAAGAAAGGAACATAGTTCTGAAAACATTTACCTTATTTGTGAAATATCAATGTAATCTTCATCATTGATATTCTGGGGTACATCTATCTTGAATACGATACATTCAAATATTAGCTCTAGCAATGTATTAATCTGTTCTGCTGGTGATCTTGCTAACATTTCTTCAACTTCGTGTATTTGTTCCATTGTTAAATCCATTTTGAAGGACTCCGAAACTCCTTCGAAAGCTTTCTAAAAAAAGATGATAAAAAAATCATATTTTTTTTGTTCATGAAATTTGAAGTATGACAATTTACACTTATATTCATTTCATGTTCACCAATCGTGCTGAGATAGCTAGAATTAGGAAGATTTTACTGTTCTCAAAGGGAGGTGAAAATGTAAAACAAAGTACAAAAATATCTAAAGTAATCTAAAAGTAACTTCTAACTTAAATCCAGTATATTGAAACAAATGTAAAAAATATTCTTAACAGCCTGGAAGTGACCATAGAATACTTCATTTCAATAATGACAAAGTCTTATGCAGGCGAGAAAAGATAATATCTTCAATTAAACACAACATAAGATAAAGGAATTAGTAATATACAGCTGCTCAATAGTCACAAATAGATTCAACTGAAACAAATCCGGGTCACAAACTAAAACAGAGTGAAACACATCAACTATAAGAGAAAAACAACGGAACAACAGAAACACTGAACTACTTCAAAAAAAAAAAAACAAACTCCGACATATATAGAAACGGACTATTTGATAAAAACTGCTATATTCTTGACTTGGTACTGGACATTGTAAGGCAAAATGGTGGGTTGAACCTGGTTTTATGGCTATCCAAACCTCCCGCTTATAAAGCATGGTTAGAAATGCCATAAAATAACAACATTACGGGATAGGAGTACATTTAGTAAAAAAAAATACCTACTCTGTCATACTTAGCTAGCTGTTTAGCTCTTTCCAGTGCAAACGATATCCACAGGGACATGGCATGTTTACATTTGCTAGCAGTTTTTGCCTGAAATAGTTTCATGATCATTCAGATTGTGAGAAAACATTAAGTTGTACATTTTTTTAATGGATAAGAAATTCCTTGTATTACACAATTCCGTACTTCCTTTATGAAAGATAAAAGAAGTAATTTTGGCTTTGTAGAAAGTAATACGGCTTGCATTATTTAGATAAACAACATAGAACACAGGCACATTTCCTGAAATTCGGATTTCATAGTGACATAATACTGCTAAATAATACGAATATGCTTGTTATTGTGTTTTTACTGTTTAAAGATTAGTTCAGATAAAATATTAAATCAAGTTTAAAAAATATTAAGTTGTGTCATCCATCAAGGCCTTTGCACATCATTTTGTCGATTTATTGTTAATACTTTAGAAATTCTACGATTTGCGTTTTTTTCCTCTCAACATCATAACTAATGAACAAATGTTGGTATGTAGCCTTCCAATATAATACTATACCTTTGTACTTATTAAAGGCTTGTCTATCTTTAAAGTGTTCTCCATGAAATCACTAAGTGACATGTTCGGGTTCGATCCAACAGACTTGAGAAAACTGATGGTTATATCTAAATTATCTAGACTATCACATAGTTCAGGCAAGTTTCTCATGTGTACCTCTCCACAGATTTGACTTCGTACGGCCGGATTTAATCTTTCCTTTAAAGAAAAATTGAAGTGAAAATTAAAGGTAGGTCAATGTAAAATGATCAAACAGCATAATGACTTGCTGATCAAGGTACAAATTTAAAAATGCACTTTGCAATGGTCCATCAACGTAGATATTTATTCCAGGTTAAAATGCAGTACAATTTCTTGTCCAATCAGAGTTTGGAATTTGTGCTTAGGACTGAAATATGAAAACAATTGGAAGTTTAATTTTAACAAATTAAGGATACATTAAGGCCGCAAATGTTGGTCTCCTTTTTAAATCGGAAATTCATAGGTTTAATTTAAATTAGTTTTCTCACCTGTTTGACTTTTTCACAGAGTTCCAAGAAAACTACAGCATTTGTGGATTCCGATCTGTAAGTGATGGTTTCAATCTAAAGTTCAAGTTAAATAAATTTGTGAAGTAATATTATCCGAATTTGGAAATTTCCATGCTAGTAAAAAGAATAAGTCAAGGCCTGTTTACAAGGGAACGAAGTTTTTAATAACAGTCAAATAAATCAGTCAAATAAAAAAATCAATAAAACTAAAAATCGTTATTTTTTTTTCTAACGTTTTTTTTCAGTTTTCCGCATTTGCGCAGAAATTCTTTCGGGTACCGTTTCTCTCTTCTGGTATCGTTTGTTTCTGGATTTTGCATTAAATATATATATAAAAAAAAAGAAACTTCACATGATTTCCTGATAATTTGTTGTATCTGATTACCAAATGAATATTGACTTTTAAACAATGAAAACAAAACTCTATATCATTTTAATATAAGTCTATAATTGTAGTGCTATTTTATAGCAAACAAAATGAGTTACAATGTATCTGTAGAAACTCACATGATCAATATTGTTCAGTCCTTTTTGAAACCAATGATGAGGCCTATGATAATCCAAAATTTACGGATTTTTTTTAGATGATAGTGATTTGTGGTATTTTGTTATTGTATTAAATTGTCAACTACAAAACTTATTGATGGCCTTGGTACATTTGATTGTAGTTTACAAAAATCAGTTTTTGATGAATAATGTATACGCACTCGTCTTCTCTCATATGTAACACCTACCTATATTATTATTTATTTTTGTTCCACTAGCTTTGAAAAAAATCTTTCATCAATGGCATTAAAGTCATATAAAAACTTACAAAATAAATAATATAGTGCTCAATGAAGAAGATGACATATACCTCTTCTAAACCTGTTACAATTGACTTTGAGAAAAGGAATCTGTCCGTCAACTGCCTCTCCAGGTTAGTAAAATTGTATTCTATTCTGGTTCCCTGTCCCACTTCAAATGAATAGTTACAATTAGCAAACACCATGGGTAACAGATCTTTGTCTGGATGGTAACTGATCAAATGTGCTGATGATATGTCTTTCACATTGACAGTGGGAAGACGGTCTATTCTGCAAAATTGACCCAAGCTATATTTTAAAAAGAACCATTACACAAATGGCAAAACTTCATTTAGCAGAGTATTCATTGATATAACATTTATATTCAGATTTTTTTATTCGATCTTAATGTTTGTGATTGTTTCTGTCATATATGCGTATATGAAACAGTTGTCATTTCGGAATATGTCAAAAAAGAATTGAGTGTTATAGAAAATCGTTCTGCAAACACTTGTTCACTCTTTGTTACGTTGAAGGGACGTGTTTTTCATCCTACGATCGGAGTTCCAATTAACTACTTCCTTTGCTTGGCGACTTTTATTGGGAGGAAAAGGGGCTTTTCTAGGAAAATGAAAAGAAGCATCACAGATACAAGTATTATAATTTTGCGCGCGTTTCAAACCATAATTGATACCAATTTAGCAATTGTGAACTTTTTATTTCTTTGAAGCACCCTTTACAGCAGCGCATGCGAATGGAGTAAAAGAGGGACTAAAGATACCAGAGGGACAGTCAAACTCATAAATCGAAAACAAACTGACAACGACATGGCCAAAAATAAAAAGACAAACAGACAAATAATAGTACAGATGACACAACATAGAAAACTAAAAACTAAGCAACACGAACCCCACCAAAAACTGGGGGTGATCTCAGGTGCTCCGGAAGGGTAAGCAAATCGTGCTCCACATGTGGCACCCGTCGTGTTGCTTATGTTATTACAAATCCGGTAAATAGTCTAATTCGGTAGATCACATTCGTGAAAAGGAGTAAACTTGTCCTTATGATACGATATTCCACGGCTTACGTTTCCTACTATGATTTCCTTGACTAACTCCTTACCAGTAAAAAAATACATCAAAGGTTCAAAACTATAAAACTGAAGACATTTATATGGAAGATTCAAGGACGCTATCAAGTTTTGATGGGACTATATGAAAGATTGTTTGTCTAAGATGACCACATTAACAACAAAAAGTTATGTTATGTTACTGTTAATAGTCTTTTTATATGTTTTTGGCCATATTTTGTCTGTTCCTTTTTTACTACTAATTTGAACATCAGTACTTCTGTTGCCTTTAATCTAGATGACTTCAATAAAAACCGAACTCCGAGGAAAATTCAAAACGGAAAGTCCCTAAACAAATGGCGAAATCGAAAGCTCATACACATCAAACGAATGGGTAACAACTGTCATATTCCTGAATCTGGTTTTATAGCACAATTACGTGGTATGTCTACGACTGCTTAGGGGGTCGGTCGTAAAAACAAAAAGCATAAGGTTGAAACGTCGTAAATGCATGAAAGGTGAAAGAGGCATAATCATAATCACTAAAAAAACAAACAAATATGTAACAAAGAAGCACAAAATGGCATATAGACCAAGCATATTAGCAACTGTCATATTCATGATAGAGACATTTTCTCATATGGGAAAAAGTACATTAAAATATTCAACTCTGCAGGATATATATAAGTGATGGCATTTAAGGCAAACAAATTGACAAGGGTATTTATCACCACAACTCTGCGCGAACTTGATGGTGTAGAAATTTTATTTAATAGCCGGAGTGAGACCTTTCCAATATGCTCACACCACAATTACTATTCATGCTTTATAACAATCTGTTTAATTTGACTCCTTCATAGATGTCAAACACATTATATGTTTGCATTGGTCTTTTATCAACTAAATCCCCAAAATGCTTCGAACGCATTATATATAGTTGAACCACCTCCACTATGTGTTTTTGTTAGATGTATTTCTATTTGCATCAATCTGATGATTTAAGGATGTTCGCTTGTCATGTTTTGGAATTTTTGTCAGATTTTCGGAATCCTGAGGTTTTATCCATTTGAATGCCTGAAAAAAATTTGCCCATTGACCCCCATTTTTATTTTTATAAATCTTTTACCTGTATAATTATAAGCCATCTGTAAAAGTCTTATAAAATTTTTGTTTTTTTTTTAATAGTTTTTTAGAACTTAAACTCGTCAATGATAAACTATGAAAAATCAAGAGAGAACATTTTCCCGCCAAAATTTCAATGGCAAATATCTCGAAAACAAACACATTAACCTATATTTTATTTTTGCTCTTTTGGTTTCTTTATTAATCCCCTATCAATATATACCATATGTTCTCTCACTAAATAATACAAAATTTGGTGACTATGTTGAACTATCCCATCGAACTAGAGATAAAGGATACTACATATACAGTTAAGTCTGCCTCATATCTTGACTTACGTCTAGAAATTGACAATGAGGGTCGGTTGAAAACAAAACTTTACGACAAAAGAGATGATTTCAGCTTCCCAATTGTGAACTGTGAACTTTCCATTTCTGTGTAGCAACATTCCAGAAGCGCCAACATACGGAGTATATATCTTCACATTGATACGATATTCCCGGGCTTGTATTTCCTAACATGATTTCCTTGATAGTGGATTGCTGCTCACAAGGAAACTATTAAACCAAGAGTTCCAAATGGTGAAGTTGAAATCATCCCTTCGTAAATTTTACGGACGCCATCACGAGTTGGTTGACCGTTATGCAATAACCGTTTCACAGATGATATCGGATATCTTCCTTATGTCGTAACTACAATACCTTTCCCTTTTCAGGAATGTGACCTACCGAATTAGACAATTTGCCGGATTTGTAATAACATAAGCAACACGACGGGTGCCACATGTGGAGCAGGATCTGCTTACCCTTCCGGAGCACCTGAGATCACCCCCAGTTTTTGGTGGGGTTCGTGTTGCTTAGTCTTTAGTTTTCTATGTTTTGTCATCTGTACTATTATTTGTTTATTTGTCTTTTTATTTTTGGCCATGACGTTGTCAGTTTGTTTTCGATCTATGAATTTGACTGTCCCTCTGGTATCTTTTGTCCCTCTTTCATATACTAGTGTCATAAAAAGCTTGTAATTTTGAAACAGAGTAGCGAACTTCCTTAATCCTTTTCCAACTGAATTTTATAGTTTGTTCTGATGTTGTACTGTAACACAACTATCAGGTATTAATGGGAGGGTTGAGCGCTAACAAACATGTTTAACCCCCCCCCCCCCCCCTTTTCCCACATTCTTCAGTGACTTGTTTCATAATTTTTAAAGCGGTTCCTTTTATAGCCGACCATACGCAGTGGGTTTTCTCATTGTTGGAGCCCGTACGGTTGCCTATAATTGCTTATATCCAGTTCATTTAAACTCATACCACATCTTCCTTTTTTTATAAGATTTAATTTATTTTTTTATTTTTTCATCCATTTTTTATCCAATGTAACAAAGGAGTAGAGCCAGGAACCGCAAAAGACGGCCCTGTAGAAGTTTATTTCAATAAACTTTCATTAATAATGTTTCTCTAATATGTATTTATTGCTAAATGTAAGATACTTGAAAGTATAGTAAAACACTTATTGTATATCTGCTTCATATTTATATAGAAATTTTCAACTTTTTCAACCTTGTTTAATGAATATATGTAGTACCACCTCTCACCCATTGAAGTTTTTATTGCAAAATGAAGAGTATGGTATAAAAAGAATATTTCATCAAAAGAAATTGTGGGCGAAGGGTGGCGCAGTAAACTGTCATATATTTTGCAGAATTCAGCAAAAAATCAATATTTTACGAATTCACCTACATAATGACGTCACATATAAGTCGCTAATGTCGACATAATTTATGAGAATCGTTTTTATCTGCAAAACTATTGGGCATTTTAGCATATGTTTTTATCAAATTTTCAATACATTTCCGTAGTTAAAAAAAATCAGATTTTTAGGGCCATATTATTCATATAGCTCCTACAGCATTCAAGTCTTTACTCATTATTGTTGTGTTCCTTGCGAATGTACACAAAAATGCACCAAATTTTCATTTTCAAAAACCATTAAAAAAAACCAGATGGTTATAGACATACTTGTTTAGTTCATACTTACGGAATGTTGGTTCTTGAGGAAATGTTTTGTAAGAACAAGTTATGATGCTTTATTAGGAAAAATAATAAGATGTAAGAACAAAGGCCAGCATCTCTATATGATGGTATGAGATAGGAAACTTTAGTTGCGTTATCAGCAATCTCTGATCTAAGATAAGTTTCGTCGACAACCACTAGTTTTCCGTCTACAGGACAAACTGCATAAAAGAAACAAAAAGTTGAATAATTAAAATTGGTGCATGTCATTCATATAAAAAAAAAAAAAAAGACCGGCATGAATATTTAACATAAATTTATTTTCATATACTAGATGTATCAAAAAAGTGAAAACAAGCTTAACTCAAAAAAGGAGACGCCCATAAAAAACTAAATCAAACGGTAAACTTTATTAAACAAAGATATTTATGTAAAGATAAGTACACATCTAATCCTTCTGTAATCTTTGACATACAATCAAACTTGCTGTCATCCTATCTATACATATTATCAAATTTAAATTGGAAATATGTCTACTTATCATAGGAAAATGATCTTTAATTAAATATATCCAATAAAAATAAATGCCGACTTATGCATATGGCAGAACGGTAAATTGTAATGTCCTTGTCGATGACGATGCCGAATTATCACTTGCAAAAGAGATTGGTTTTATGCACAACCATTGTCATTAATGAATATCTATATATGCGAAATAAAAAACGGGAAATTATCTAACGTCATTTAATATGTATTACAGGAATGTTTATTCAACAATTGTAAGGCATGTTAAACAGAAATATGAATTATGTTTTCGATTTTGAGTAGAAGTCGTTTGTAAAACTATATTAGTATTTCTGACATAGCCTGTTTACTGTGCTGAAATCCTCAAGTTGACAACAAGAATCTTATTTTCAATACGATTCCATGTCAGGAGATGTCATCAAATCGTATTCCCGACATATCTATCGAAAATTATCTAATGACAAGGATAGGAATGGCATTCAAATGTTTGACACTCTGTACAACGTATAATATAATTTGTATTTGTAGAATATTTTTCATCCGTTATCAATGATCATTTGAAAAGGATATACATATAACCATTTAAGATACTTACTCACTGGTACTTAAATATAACCTACCCCAATTCTTCAGTAAATCTTTAACACACGTCCACGCCATTTCAAATTCTTTCAAAAGTTGCTCAAAATCTTCACATCTTCCATCTGTTCATATAAAACAGTTCTATTTTGTATATGTTAAGAGTTCGCCAATGCCAATAAAATGAAAACAAGTTACTGTGTGCATTTACTTAGAAAAAAAACATACTTGAGATTTTCCGCCATTTTGATAGCAAATAAACGTTTAACTTATTCTAATTTGTAAATCCTCCTTCCATCATTAGTTAATTGGTTGAATTATTGCAGTTCTATCATCAATCGTTAAGAAGCCGCCTCGGTGGTTATCTCTGGGCACTCCGGCTTCCTCCACCATTAAATCTGACCACCACAAAATAGTCTCACTAGTGTTCAAAGCGGCGTTCAACACCTATCAGTCATTCAATCAAAAATAATTTGTTTAATTTAGAATATCGCCTGATATGTAAGAAATTGAAAATCATATTCAAAAAGTTTTGTTTATTGCTTTTAACAAAAATTTAAGGAAAAAAAACATTCAATGTGGGATTTGTCGCAGATTTTTGTAAATTTTGCTTACAACTAAATTTGGGACTGAAATTCAAAAACAATAATTTAAAGTTTGAAAAAAATCCTAATCTATTTCTTGGCCTATTCACTGTAACTAGACTTTAAAATATTTGTGTCTTTTCTTGGAAGGAGTTTGCTATTTATAAATGTTTGTTAATTTCGCATTAATAAGATTTTTAATTCGAAGTATTCCTACAACCGCTATTGCGTATCGGATTAAACTCTAAATTTGTCAACTATAAGGGAGTTTTTGACTCTTTTTTTATATCTGATTTCGAATATTTGAAAAATTTAGTTTTGAAAACCAATTTACCAATCAAAAAGAAGCGGATGATACAAAAAAGATTTTGTTCATCAGTTGCTTGCAGTCGTTTTGACGTCTATCACACATTTTTGTATAATTCCATAAATGTTTTAATAGGTAAAATCACAAAAATACCAAACTCCAAGGAACATTCAAGACGGAATATGCTTAATCATTTGGCAAAATCAAATATAGCACATTATTTATATGCCTTGTTTTCATATCTCAAAAATAAAATCTTGCATCGGTGGATAACAATGATGGGAAAATAAAACAAACATTTAATTCACAGACCAATTGATATTTGACTACCCCTTGTTCGATACCATTGAAAATCACAAATAGTAATATAAGTTTTTTTCTGATACCTCTCTAACAAAATAAAATAAAAAGAATTGCCCTCCCCAACCATTACGCTGTGCACGATTACGCTAGGTCAATTTTTCAACTTTTACATTATACGGAACTTAACTTAAACAATATCCTAGAGAATGGTACCACTAGTATCTGACAATCTGTTATCAAGAAATATATATTATAATAGACAAATGTTTTGATAGTATTTACTTCACCTTCTTTCATTTCTCTTTTGACATCGCGGATAGTTAAAGCGGCTATCTCAGTTCTGTCAAGTTTTCTGTTGTATTTCTGTATTAGCATTCTCTGTAACCTCATTATACTTGGTATAAATCTTATAGCTCTTAAATGATAATCCTACAAAGGTTTATATAAGATGTACTTTCAAAGACCGACATGTGGAAATTTTTCGGTCGTTATAATGTCTCGTTGCCAGTATAATAATTAAGGATAATAGTGATAATAATGTTAATACATTTTTTTTATTTCTAGAGGTGACTCAATAACAAATGCTCTCTACTTGTATTTTAATACATGCAATGACTTCACGTCTACTTATGCTGTTTTTTTTATTCAAACAAAATGTTATAACAACGCTAATAAATTGTATTGTCGAACAGGCAATGTAACTCCAATCGGGTATATTTTTTTAATTTTTGGATGAACGTATTTCCTTCTGTTCTCATCATTTACAATATCTGAATAATATATACCTCCTGCAGAAAGAGTCGGAGTACAGGTACTGGCATTGTTCTTTCTGTTCCTTCTAGATTCTGCATGAGATGTTTGATTGTTATCAGTTCTCTATAACGCCACATTGCAGGTATTTCCTGCAAATTTTGAATGTCCTTTCTATGCGGATACTTGTCTGTTTCATAAAGTATCTGCATAAGGATATCTGTACCTAAAAATAAAGATCAAAATAAACACAAGAGGATGTGAAAATAAAAAAATCCAAATTTGCTTTCTAAACTAGATAACAAATCAATCGGTTGAACAAATGTGAGACTGAGACTAGTGAAAGTCATCAGATATGTGTTAACGATTCACTATAAAATTGAAGCCAGAATGAAATTTACTAAACATATATTCTTGCACATTTTTTTTTATTGCAGGATGAAAATTTTAAAATTTGCAGATAAAGTAATTCACATAAATAGACCGTAGATAACAACTCCAATTTCGATTTATGACTTTTGAACACCGGTATACGACTGTTACCTTTATATTCATGGCTTGGCACAGGAAATTTTAAAAAAAATGGAGGTTAAATACACCGGCAGATATATTTTACCTCATCAAGTCGCTAAAAGAAAGTGGTCAATCAACTTACCAAGTCTTTGATCATCTAATAACATTTGGTTGCAGGCACTTAATTTTGGTTTTACATCCTATAAAAAACATAAATGAATTAAAAGCAATTACGAAATATTTATTAGTGCAGAGGTTCATAATATTCAACACAGCAAAATATTTTTGGGGTAAATATAACAGCTTTTGTCTTTTTCGGGATAGAAAAAATAAATTAAAAACGATTTGGTTAAATTGCATTTTGTATGTGCATCATCAGTATTGAAAACAATGTTTGGAAAATATAATAATGAATTGGTTTTATAGCAAAGAAAAATCATTCTGACACATCTTCCTTTTTGTTCATAAGTTATGCTGCTTCAACATTCTGCTATATTGGGAGCAGGGTTGTAAACATGTTTAAACTCGTCATATATTTTATGCGTCTAATAGAGTCGTGAAAACTGATATTATGTGTTGTCATTTGCTACTTTGTGCAATATTGTTCTTTGAATTTATTGTATAACCATTGAAACAACAAATAAGAGGGGTACAGTAAACAAGCTGCAAGAGATTCATCATATAATAAGAAAATGAACTTTAACAAAATGTGTTTTTCCGAGAAGATATTTCTGATAATTGGTTCTCGAACAAATATTAAAAACTCAAAAATATCAAGCGTTAATGAGAAAATGAAATGAAAAAAAAAACGTTTACCAAAAGCAATCCTACTTTGTTAGGTTAAATAGTAAAAAGGTTCATATCGTATACACCTCATACATTTAAAGTCAGAAAGCTTTTTTGGAACAAAATGCACACATTTAATACCTGTAGAAAAGGTTCAATGTATCTCTTTGCAAACTGCTCCTCCCATTTAGATCGAGATTCTTTGCTCAATAATCCACTAATATCTCGTGGCAGCGTTTATTCTAAAAAAAAATTCAATCAAACGACAACACTTTTATTCATACTGGTGCATGAAACATACCATAGAGTTGAAGATCCTGATACAGATAAACGAGAGATAATACCAAAGTTATGTTTAACAAAAGTCAATAAAAGTAACTAATAAATTGAACAATAATTAGAAAGAATTTGTGCCATTTAAACCAAGTTCTAAAAATAACAAAAAACTTTACATCTTTTAACTTTTTTTGTATTCGCACGTCACTGTTGAGTCTTTTATAAACGAAACTCGCGTTTAGCTCAAATAAAATGTTTCAAACCTGGTATCTATGATAAGTTTATTACATTTGACGACTGATTGCGAGGTTTTGGGATCGGTCCTTATAAAAATATGACTTGAGACAACTGTCCGCCAAAGTTGAAATGAGGTCGAAGTAACGATTATTAGCAACCATAAGGCCTTCAACAATGAGATATATCAATACCGTACGATCGGCTTCAAAAAAGTTCAAACATGAAATTCATGAAACAATTCGATTGAGAAAACTGACGGCCTAATTTTAAACGAATTAATTTACAAAAACAAATATGACAGACATCAACCAATGACAACAACTGGACTACAGACCCCTGACTTGGGACAGGCAAATAAAAATAGCACATGAACATTCAATTAAAATTTAAAATAATTAACACAAAGAAAAGGTATAATAAATAAAAATTTCAAAATCGCAAGGTAGAAAAATATTTTATATGCTATATATATAAGAATTTAAACACCATGGCAAAAACAAACGTACAAAAAAACCACAGTTGACCAATTACCACAAAATGTTACTGAGGAGCACAAATTCTACAAAATTTGTGGCAAACTAAAGGGATAAGCATTTCCTTCGAATCTGGTAACTCATTGTTTTCAACTTGAATTACCATTCTTATGCAGGTAAAACGATTATACGCATATCTTTTTGATATATAACAAGATATCAAACAAACCTTTCTATCTATATTTAACATGTTTTTACTGGATTATATGACAATCGGCAGTTTTTGAAGGTATTTTGATAGATAACTGATTAGCGTTTATCCAAAAATCACACAAGAATCTGAAGCATTATTTATTGTTTGTTTTGTGAAGTTTTGTAGTTCGGACATACGTTTTAGCATGTTACAAATCAGGTATAAAAATTGGAGTCAAAACGTTTGGACATGCATTTTACAGCTAATGCCCCTTTGAAACATCAACAAGGAAAGTAGCTGATACTGTCTCGTGGACGTGTTTAGCTATTGTTTAACCATGAAGAATAAAAAGAAGTACATCTATTGTTATTGCGCTATTATACACATCTACTCTCCTATACTGTCTGAACTGAATTGTTTAAACAGCATAGGCAGTTTCATTTTTAACTTCCTAAATTTTAAGCCTATTCTGAAAAAGAAAAGAAAAAATTTGACTACATGTGCCTTTACTACTCATTGTAATATAGAGGTTTTCTGTATGTCTGTCAATCCATCAAACGTGTCAAGATTAAACATAGATCACTAGAGTCACGGATTAAGTGTGAAGACATTATGCGCAGTTAAAAAAAAACATAAAAGTATCGACAGGTGATAGAACAAAACGTGTTTTAACTACATTGATATAATCTAATTAAACGCTTAATAAACTTTAAAGAGTAATTTCAATGTTAATACTGATAAGGACACTATTAACAGAACTAGTTTGAAAATGCTACATTGTTCACAACAATCAGTTTGGTCAATTAAATATTCAGTATTAGATTCATATTTTATTAAAAGGGTTTTAAGGCATGGACCGTTTGAATGTCGGGGAGGCAATTTTATTTTTGTCATGCAAACCGAGCAAGAGTATTTTTTTCAGTCAATCCAACTGTTTTTTGCAAAGTTTTTGGAATATAAGACATGTGTTCTCTGATTTTAAAGTCTCAATGTATTGAATTTATTCTGGTATTCAATGTCAATGTCCTATGTGGACATGTAAGAGGTACTGAGTTTTTTTTCCATTTACATGTTTGTTCAAACCATTCCTCTTAATAAGACAAGTAATACATATATATCATTAATGTATAGAATGGGGTATGGTGAATAAGATCCTGACACAAAGTCAAACATGTACACTCTTTTTTGCTGTTCTTCATCTTGAAAATTACAGTGAAATCATTCTAGTCTAAATGTGTAACAAAACATTTATTTTATTAAGACAAGTACATGTAATGCATACATATCCATTTTGAGTAGAAAGGGATATGGTGAACAAGATCCTGACAAAAAATCAAAGCATGTACATAATGCATTTGCAGCAATGAAACAGCGCATTTGTTGCTGTTCTTCATCATGAAAATTACAGTGAGATCTTCAACACAGAGAAATCATTCTCGCCTCAATGAAAGTTTCAAGACAGCCTCTAGCACCGGTTTGAGCAGATTTCTTTGCTAAAGTCAATATTGTCATAAGTGTACCATTGAAGATGCACAGATGCGAGGCAATATGAACAATTTAATATGAATAGCTGGCAAAAAAATCTTAACAAATACTGTCATAGATTCCCCGACAATTTTACTTATTCATTAATATAAAACGAGACAAATATAAAGTGAAACACAGGGTAAGTTACTAAATTTGGTACATATAAACAGTGAAGGTATAATTTGTACCCCTCACAAATGAAGTTATAGGGGGGGGGGGGTATATCGGATTAACTAAGTTTGTCCTGTCCTGTCTGTCGGTTTGTCCATAGATCTTGAAAGTGAGGTACTAGTACACTACAAAGTGTGGATAATCTTTTTAGCGAGCGAAGCGTGCGAAGAATCAAAATACATCATACATGTCATACTTGGTGAAGATGAAGCCAGAATATATTTTAAGCAACTGAATAGGACAGATTATTGTCAAAATAAAGAGCATTATTTAAAAAAAAACCTTTCACCAGGTGATATCAAAGTTATCAAATTTACCAAACTTATAATTTGATACGCATGACGCGCGTTTCTTCTACATAAGACTCATCAGTGACGCTCAGATCAAAATAATTTTACACCCAAACAAGTTTAAAGTTGAAGAGCATAGATGACTCAAAATTCCAAAACGTTGTGTCAAATACGGCTAGGTAATCTATGCCTGGGATAAGAAAATCCTTATTATTTCGAATGTTTCATACTTTTGCAAACAATTAATTTATAAAAATGACCAAATAACTGATATTCATGTCAACACCGAAGTGCTAAATACTAGGCTGGTGATACCTTCGGGGATAAAACGTCCACCAGCAGTCAGTGATAGATATTATATTATCATTATAATTTGTATACACATACCTTTTAGTGTATCCATTATTTTTACAAGGAGGAAGTGTAGAAATAAGACAGCATCATCTCTGTTTATGCCAAGAATGGTTTGAATTGAGGTCAGATCTAGGTTGAGGTGTAGAAGTAAATACTCATAAACATCACCTGGTTCAATTGCTGGCTTAATTGTCTGACAAATTGCCTGTAAAAATGGAAATATGTAGTATGGACACTTTAAGACACAATAAAAACTAAATGAAGAAAAAACTGAATATATGAATATAGATAAAAAAAAAGATAATTTCCTTACATTTGGTTATAACCTCACTTAAAATACACCTGTGACGTAAATATATTGTTCATATTCTCCATTATATTTTTCAGGAATGGGGAGTTATTTTCTGTTGTTCGTCTTCATTCATCCGGACGTTTTGCCCTTAGGATATTTCCATGGGCACTTTCTGAAAATGTATTTACCCATTAAAATAAAGGACGTAACGCGATATTGAATGAAGATGAAACCTTACTAAAGCGACTGATACTGGATTTTTAAAAATTGGGATCATAGTAATACAATGAACACTAAATATCTCATTATTAACAAACAGCTGTTATTTGCGAGTCGTAATTCCATCGTGTAAACTATAGTATCGTATTCACTAAAATTCAACAATATAATCCACAATTTGTTTTCTGATGCAAATCTTGGCAGAATTTTGTCACGGATAGTATCCAAGTGGGTAAAAACGAATATTTTCCATTGAATCCCATTCCTCTTCTGTGCATCTACAAAATATCAAATGTGTTAACTGTGGTATGAGTTAGTGAATTCTATTGTTATATTGAGCACAATAACAGTATTCAATAACGAAAGTAAAGAGAATAAACTGTTAACACAGAGATTTGTCTCGCCTTTTTGTAGTTTTGATAATGCAAATATTGAAATTAAAATAGCAATACTTTAACATGTAAGTTATGAAAATATTCAAAGTCAATGAACCATGACAGAAGGTACATGGCTAAACAATCTAAATAGAAATGGAATGTGCCAATGCTAATACAACTGCATACCAAATACCATTGACTTATCATAAGTCGTTCCCTTTAAACAAACCTAAACATAAACATTAACTTGTAAACTATGTAAAAGTTTCAAAGTCAATGAGCCATGATGAGGGAGTGGGACTATATAATCTCAATGGAAACGAGACATGTACAACAGCATACAAAATATCATTGACTTATCACTAGTGGTTCCCCATAAACTGACCTAATCACAAACTAATACATGAAAACTAAGCAAAAGTTTCAAAGTCAATAGACCATGACTGAGACGGCGGGACCAAATAATCTCCTTGGAAATGAGATATACCGATGCTTATACAACTGTATAACAAATATCATTAACTTACCACTAGTGGTTCCCCATAAACTGTCCTAATCACAAACTAATACATGTAAACTAAGCAAAGTTTCAAAGTCATTAGACCATAACTGAGGGGGGCGGGGCCAAATAATTTCCATGGTAATGAGATGTGCCAATGCTAATACAACTGCATACCAAATAGCATTGACCTACCACTAGTTGTTCACCATAAACTAGACCTAATCACAAACTAATACATTGTTGACGCTGCCGCCGACGCCGGTAACAGCATACCTATATCTCGCTTTTTGACTCCGTCAAGGCGAGACAAAAATATATTGCAC